GACACTCACGACTATATATATATATATATAGAAGTTTGTCCCTAAGACTGAGACATTCTTCCAACTTACCATCCTCCAGATGTGGTTCCCAGGGGATCAGGTATTGGTTGGAGATGGTCCAGCTAAGTAAGTCCTCACATGGGTTCTGGCCAGTATCTCTCCTTTTACTGTTGACTGAATGAAAAATGCCAAATGTCACCAAGCTTTGGACTGGAGATGCACCCCAGGTTTGTAGTTCTTCTTCCTACTGTCTGCTGGATGTCGGTTTCTGACGGATCTAGTCAGTGCTTTTTTTGTAAAAAAAAAGAAAAGGTGCCGATACTCATATATATAATAAATTAAGAGATGGAAACATACTGAATTACCTTTTTTATAGAAAATTCCAAATTTTCATCATGTTCTCATCTGATGCAATATCTCGACTTTGTTCCTTGCTTTTGGTGTCTACTGCTGAGTGACATTTTTGGAGAAACCATGACTCTACTTATTTTTTGGGTCAAAGCATGGAAGGAGCAGTCCAACAAGTTTAATAAACAAAAAGTGCCAAAACGGTTTTTGTCATCAAGGAAGCTCTAGTTGGGGTGATAATCAAATTCATCTGTGAAAACCCTTGTTCACATTCACTCAGAGGATGTTTAAAGTGCTGCAATTTTCTCAGAACCATCTTTTCAGTCAAATACTGACAAAATCCATGAATCATATCTCTTTCATTTAGCTGAGGTTTTATTGATAATTTTCTGATCTCCATCTTGCCAAATGTTAAATGAGCATCAACTTTTCAAGTCAATGTTTTTTTATCAAGCATGCATGCACACAGTGCTATATCACCACCTTCACTTTCAAGCATTCTATTTTCGCATGATTTTTCAAGGTTCCATAAAAAGCTTCCGGATTAATCAGAAGATCCTTTTTGCAATCTTTGTTGGGAAGTAAAACTCCCCAGGAGTGAATATTTTTGGCGGCATTTTTATAATATGGGCCTGGAATCATTCGTCTTTCTTCAAATATTTGTACAAGAGCTTTTATCTTTTGATTCACCTTGTACAAGTCTATACCGCACTCTTGTAAGTCCAAACTCAATTTGGATAATTCTTGGAGAGCATCACAAATCAATCCTATATCCAATAGAAATTCTGTGCTTGTAATTTTTAGCTGTAAGCCCTCATATGCACATTGCTCTCTTTTGTCTCTTGTTGAATAACGCTTCGCTTCCTCGAAATATTGCACTAACGCTTCATAGCTTTTCAAACAACTCAAACTGACCGAAAAATAGATGCCACCCATCGAGTGCTTAAAATTTGGCCAATTTTTAAAAATTGAATCTCCACCAATTCGTGCACACTTTCAGTTCTCTGCTATTTTCTGGCAACATGTGATACAAGACATAAAGTTTATCAATAAACACTTCAAATCTGTTGATCCCTGAGACAGATTTTACAGTGTTAATGACTGACAGTTTTAATCTGTGATTAGCACAGTGCCACACAATTAGAGAAGGAAATTTGACTTTCATCAGTTTCTTAACTCCACTTTTACTCCCCAACATCATGGCTGCACCATCATATGCCATACAAAGTAAATAACTTTTTAGGTAGTATTCATTCATTTCATAAGGTTGAAGATAATTGAGTAAAGAATCAGTGATTGGTTTTCGTTTGCTACCTTATATGCTGTGAGAAAAATTCTTGTAGTAATAACTTTTTTTGTGAGATACTGCTTTTAAATGCACGTAGTTTCCTTGTGAGCGAAAATTTTTTCACAAAGACAGAAGCTGTTGCTGTTGACTTTCACCAAAATAAGTTATTTCATTGTTGGCCCATTCTTTAGAAACTTTCATTCCTGCCTTCATTTCCACTCCAAACGTTCCAATTTTATGGCAAGGTGTACAGCCAAGTATCTTATTTCTAATATTCAGCCAATCGTACTTCTTGCAAAAATCATTTTTTGATCGACAGTCTATCAGCTAGGCCAGTCATTGTCAGATAACTCATGGACACCGGATGAACCAGGAACAGAAACTGTCACTGATGCTGTTAATTCCTCACCTATTTTAGCTTTCTTATTCATAGAAGGTGAAAATAAACTTGTAATTTGGTTCACTTTTACATTAGGGTGTTTTCTCAAGATGCAATAAAAACAACATACATTCTTAGTCACAATAAAATCAAAGTATGGTAGAAGAGAAATGCACATCCGCTCAAATTGGCATCACCACCTCGACTGAGCATGTCAGACCAAAACGACTTATTCCTGAGACTCACATGCATATTTTTATCTTGGCTGAGAAGGTGCTGTGCAATTAATGATGTCAGTCATCTTTGTCCACTTTGAGACTTATTTTACTTGAATGAATGTACAATCCAGACTCGCATACCAATCAACTCGGCTTGTGGTCACCTGTTTCACAGCCCCAAGTGGTCTCTTTGAACTCAGTATTACGTCCACCCAGGCCACTGCCTAATTGAAACCTGTCAATCAAAGTGAAACCACTACCTAAGCATTTCCAATCCAACCAACTCCTGATCCAACAAAAACCAATATCCAACAGATATTAGGAAGGAGGAAAGCCCCATTGGGATAACATTTGTGGTCCAAAACCTGGTGGCATTGGGTATGGTTCTTCCCGTGGGAATACATTTGCTGTGTCCAGCTACAACCTACACAAAATACAGGGCTTTTTTGAGATGGTATGCACTGGTACGGTGTACCGGCACCATTTTTCATATTGCAGAATGGAGAGAAAGGTGATAAAACGTAATGTAAACGAATGTGTGAATTTTCCCCATTGAACAACTCTTTTGTTCACAAGAAGACCAAAGAGACACCAAATTAGAAGTGTTGCAAATGACAAAGTTTAAAGGAGTATTAAAACATTCTGTTTGTTTGATCATGTATGTGTGATCACCAGTGCAGTATGAGGTGTGAAGCATCAAGTAGGATTAGCATGCCATTAATAGGGAACATCAATGATCATCTGGTTTTAACACCTACAAGACGTGGCCACCATCAGTCGATGTACCAAGTGGAGATGGATTTTGGTGAGGAAGCTCATCTTCCCTATCAATTTCCATTTTGAAGAGAAGATGTAGGTGATCCTCTGCCTTCTGCAAAACTGATGTACAATTCCAGATACTGCCAGGTATTGGATGAGGTCAAACTACCACTATGTCTCAGCCTAGCCACTCAACAACCAGGGACCCATTAATCAGTAATACGTATTATGGGATTCCATCATGTTTTTCTGGCTTTTTTGTTCGCGAAACAGTCATAAAAGAGCGAAGAGTATACCTGGATCATATGTGGTGCAGTCTCTTGCTGTGGTGTGATATTTTTTTTGGTTCCACATCTCATGGTCTCTCTTTGGGTGCTTCTAATGAAGGGATAATTTTTTTCCCCAGCCCTCCACCAGTTCTGTGTGGGATACTAGCTATTTTGTGAGAGGAGGTAAGATATCGTATTCAAAGTTAACATTTTCCTAAATTGAAATACATTTTCAGTTTAGGAAAATCTTAACTTTAAAATATTTGTATATAAATGTTAAGAATATACTTTAAAGGGATTTACCTCGGCATGGGTCATTTTTCACAAGAAATTCATCAAGTGCCATCCAACCACCTCCTACCCGTACCATCACAGTACTGCGCAAGATACGCACAAGGCACAGCTTCTGTGATTCTCCAAACTGGAACAAAAATAATTCAAAATTATGAATAAAAAAACTGAAGCTACTAGTTGGTAGTAATGTGTGTTCATTAGAAGTTGTAGAATTATACATTATTTTAGAAGTCATGTCTTTAATAAAACAGTCTCGGAGTATGAAAATAAAACTACTTACTCGGTATTTGCCCTCGCCAACCTGGAACACTTTAAACTTTTGAGGACAAGAGCACTTTGCAACCTGCTTCTGAACCTCATCTTGGATCTTTTCTGCATCTGTTTTTGGACGTCCCTTTATGAGAGAAAAAATAATATAAGTCAGTTTCTGATTTAACAAATTCTTTTAACATCTCTACCAGCAGTGCAAAGAAAAAGAAAATGCAAAGATTTTAAGATTTTTTTTTAGAAAGAAAAACAGAACAGTCACTTTTGACAAATTAGGAATAACAAGAATTTTAGAAAATGGCTATTTAATTGCAAAAAAGTAATATTATCTACAAAACTAATACAAAGTTCTAGTTTATTGTAGTAGTAGTATGCTAATACTCTAAGGATCTGCCTAGTTTGAAGTAAATTATTTTCTAGAAGGTTTATTTTAATTTTTTCTTTCAATAATGATCCTGGTAATTTATTAGTTGAATTTTGAGTAACGGTACTGTTGCGTATCTCCTTGTTTGTTAATTTCCCGTGGAAATTCTTTCCGAGAAACTTCAGCGATACAAGTTCTTTCTTAATTAAGACTAGTTTATTCTTTCTCTATGCAACTTTGTAATACACAAAATTTCCATAGTCGCTTTAAACTTAATAACCTTATAACACACGCTGTAAATCACAGCGATTCACACACTTTACTTATGGTGCCAACTGCTCGCTTGACTCAATTATTTCTCTTC